TCCTTTGTCGGATGTATATTTTGCAAATATTTTCTCCCACTCTGTTGGTTGTCTTTTAACTCTGTTAATTGTTTCTTTTGCTGTGCAGAAGCTCTTTAGTTTGATATAATCCCATTTGTTTATTTTTCCTTTGGTTGCCCCTGCTTTTGGGGTCTTATTCATGAAGTCTGTGTCTAGTTCTATTTCCTGAAGTGTCTCTCCTATGTTTTCTTTAAGAAGTTTTATTGTTTCAGGGTGTATATTTAATTCTTTAATCCATTTTGAAGCATATTCATTTTTAGATGTGACATACTTTTGAGGAGTTTTGGAATTTTTTTATTCACTTAATAAAATTGTTCTTATCCTCTTATTTTAGTTACAGTGTGTGCTCTGTCCTTCATCCACAATTATTATGGGCTTGGCTTTACTTCTCTGTAGTTGTTATAAATTGCACTAAGGACATTCTTATGGCTTATCTCCTTAGATTGTGAAAAGGTTAGAGGAATGGCATATTGTCAAAAAGGAATAAAGCAAACTAATCCTTAAAGGGATAAACCATCATTAGATTTTGAGAAATGGATAGTTCATGGAGAGTTCTTTATACTCTTTTAATAAATTAAAAATTAATTACATGATGTTCTTCTTTGAAATATACATTATAACACACTCTCTTGTTCACAGCATAAACAAATGTAAAAATTACTATGAAGTACTTGGAGTTACGAAAGATGCTGGTGATGAAGATTTGAAAAAAGCTTATAGAAAGCTTGCTTTGAAGTTTCATCCAGACAAAAACCATGCACCTGGAGCAACAGATGCTTTTAAAAGTAAAGTAAACCTTTTAAAGTAATTTTACTAAGCTCTTTTTAGAATTCACTTTACAGTGTTTCAGAATATTAATTTCTGCTTTTGGACTGGTGCATTCAGAAACCAGCATAAGAAAGTGTCTGCAAAATTCTTTAATACTTAAGTATTAACTTGATATACCCTGAGCCAAACAAGTGCTATTTGGCTTCACAGAAGCAACATGAAAGTTTTGACACAGTTCTAATAACTTTTCTAGGTACTCATACATGCTTTCTAGTTTATCATGAACAAGTAGGGTGATGATTGTGCATGAGCTTCATGCACATTGCCATCTGGTTTTAAGTGAACTAAAAGCAAAATATAGTTTTTGTATGTTTTTAAGACACTAGAGAGTACTAAAATTGGGATATCAGTTAGAATAGCCATCTCCCCAATGTTCTTATATTTCTATTAAACCTGGTCAATTTTTGCATTTTTTTTATGTAGTTATGATGAATGTGATTTTTTTTTAAATTACTTTCTTTCCTCTTGCCTATTACTCGTTTTTTAAATTTTCTTTCTCAATATTCTTTCATTTTTTTTGCCTATTTAGTAAATGTCAGAACTGATTTTTTAATTTCATATTTTGTTACATGCAATGTGTTTGTAATAGTTAAATTCTAATTCATAGTAAAACGCTTAAATTTTTGATTGTTCATTCTTGTGAATTTGACATTCGTAGAGCCAACATATAATATTTACAGTAAAATGTTGGTGTCTTGGAATAATAGGGAGGAGATACTCATTTTTAAAATATCTCAAAAAGAATATTCAATTGGTCCTTCATAAAAATACCATTAAGATTGTTTCCAGAACAGTTTTATTTCTTGAAGGAAGTCACCAAGGAAAATATATTTAAGAATTATTAATATAGTCCTGTAAGAGCATCTGTCAAATTGGTCCTGGTGAAAGTAGAATTCCACTCTGGCACTGAGAGCTTTCCCAGTTTGTTTTTTTAAATTAAAAGTGGAATGTTGAAAGTGTAGGAAATGTTACTTTATTCAAAAACACTAACTTACAACAAAAATTACCTTTCTGTCAGTTCATTTCCTGAAGAATGTGTCCAGGTTATTGTGCCATTATTTTCTTCCTTTCAAATACACACCTTCTGTTATTAAACAAAAATAACACAGATAACAGCACTTATGTTAATTTCTAATTTAGTAGTACACAAAGTTGGGAAATTTCTGATGAAATTTTCAAATAGAGCAAATATTTGTTTAATTTATTTCATTGCTGAAGCCTAATTTCTACAAATAATTTTCAACTTTTATGAATACAAAGTGCTTTATATATGCTGTTACAGAGTTACAAGAAAAAGTAGCTGAAATTTTTAAATAGCTAATTTATTAGCACATATTCCTCCAAAAGTGAAAAGTTCTACATTATGAGTTAAAAGCATTTCTTTAAACATTTTTGGTGTTTTAAAAAATGTTTAGAAATATTATGGCAGTGGGTTATTTGTATGTTTGTGGTCTGCTAGGAGATTTGATTATCAATTAATATTAAGGACGTCAAACTACTTTTTTTCTCCCACTTCTGTATCAAAGTGGTGTTAACATTATTGGTCTTGGAATAACACTAAGTGTATATACCTATATTTACATAGCCTGTGTTGCATTTTGAAGAAATGAACAACATAAATGTCATCCCAGTAAGCCAGCTAGACACTCAAAGGGGTTTTACAAAAGTTGTTGTACTTTGGTGTGGTACATTTCAGAGTTTAATGCTCTGCTTTGCAAAACTAGAAACCTAATACTTGTTAACATGCCAAGAGATGATTTATCTGTAGGAGAGAGGCTCACATTATTCAGTACATGAGAGGTTATCTGTGAATCAAAATGCCAATTTATTAGTCCCGAAAGAGGATCAGAATAGTGAGTTAACTGATGAGCCCATTTTTCATTGAGTGGAAACTACATAGAAAATCCAAGTTGAAATCCACAGATGCTTGATGAGCAGAGGTAGTTAATTAGAAAATACAACTTGTGTCATCACACAAAAATGGCAGGTTTCATTCATTTAGCACACAGGGTCTTTTTATTACTGCTTTAATCATCTTATTTTATTTTTAATCAATCAATCGATCTTTTTTTTGGGATATTAAGCTGTTTATCTCTAAGCAAAGACAAAGTTTTGCCTTTATATAAAAACTAAAATATAGATCAATTGCTCTGTAATTACTGAAGCACTTTTTTACAAAAAATGAGATCCATGTGCTTTTATTTTCTTTAAGAATAAAAAAGATGAGGCAGTTGGTTTAGGGAATTAAATTAAATAGAAGAGATGTTTCTATTTGTGTGCTTTGTAAATCTTTAAAAATAAAAGATACTCTCAAGCAGAGTGGCCTAAATGAACTCTTAAGTTCATGTGGCCGTTCTGTCTTTCCAGTTAGGATTGTAAGTTTCTTAAGCAGGGAATATTTTATTTATATGTACAATGACTTGCACAATATATGTAAACATATTTTAAAAAAATATTTTAATGAAATGAATCCCTTTCCTTCTCTTTGACATAGATGTTTTCAAAACATACCCAGTCTACATTATGTTGAAAGACTCCCCAGTATTTCAGAGCCTATTTGAATAGTACCTGTGCCTGCTGACATATTGAATGTAATAATAGGCAGCATGGGTTAGCTGTGTATGTGTTTGCTTGATAAATAATTATGGATGAGGTGCTTTAGCTTGTGTTAGGTCTGGTAGTTCAGTATTAACCTGTAGAGTGTATCTCTAAGAACAAGCAAGTTAATTTTCACCTTTGGGCTAGTTCTTGTAGCAAAGTACAGTGAGAGAATACGAGATATCTTCTTCCTCAAAGACTTATAAATCATAAAGGGGAAACAAGTCTGACACAAAACATTTGCAAATAGTAATGCCTAACATTTGACAAATATTTTATAAAATTTCTCATTCTCATTATTTAATGCTTATTAAAAATCTTGTGAAATAGTCAGGGGACCAATGTCATCCTTATTTCACAAATAAGGAAATTGAGAGTCATAGAGATTAATTGTTTTATCCAGGATCTCCCAAAAGACTGACTAGAATTAGATACCAAAACATAGAATAAAGGTGTCCAAAGGAAAGTCAGAAAGATGAAGTAATATTATGATCAGAAAATACTATAAATAAATCAAAATGAAATTTTTTTAAATGTTGAAGTAATTCACAGAAAGTTAGGAAAAAGAAAACAAATGAAAAACAGAAAGAACAGAATACAAAAAATAAAATGTCAGACATAAACCCTAACTTATCAGTAATTAAATTAATTGCAAATGATCTAAATATATCAGTTAAGTGACAGAATGGCAGAGTAAACATTTCAGTATATGTTGTCTACAAGAAAATCACTTCATTCGGGCCGGCCCGGTGGCGCACTGGATAGTGCGCCGCTTGGGAAGCGCGGCGGCGCTCCCGTCCGAGGGTTCGGATCCCACATACAGACCAGCTCCCGCTCGCTGGCTGAGCGAGGCGCGGGAGCAACACCGAGGCTTGCGATCCCGTTGCCGGTCCCTGGTCCGGTACGGGGGCAACACTGAGGGTTGCGATCCGTTGCTGGACACGGAAAAAAAAGACAAAAGACAAAAAAAAAAAAGAAAATCACTTCATTCATAGCAGTACAAGGGGTCTTCAAAAAGATCATGGAAAGATCTGTATTATCTTTTAATTCTATTTTTCCTCAAACTTTTGAAATACCCTTACATAGACAGGCTGAAAGTAAAGCAATTGAAAAAATATATCATGCAAACATTAATCAAAAGAAAGCAGGAGTTGCTAAATTAATATTAGATAAAGTAGACCTTAAAGTAAAAAAATTACCAGACAGGAACATTGTATTATGGTAAAAGGGTCAATCCTCCAATAAGATATAACAGTATGAAAGTGTATGCACCAAAATTTGTAAAGCAAAAACAGATAGAACTGGAAGGAGAAATAGATAAATTAACAACTACAGTTGAAGACTTCAACATTTTTCTCTTAACAATTGATAGAACAATTAGACAGAAAATCAGCAAATATATAGAACTAAACACCACCATCACTCAGCAAGATCTAATCAACATTTATGGAATACTCCACCCAACAACATCATACTACAAATTTTTTTTAAGTGCCCACAGAACATAGACCAAAACAGACCATATTCTGGGTCATAAAATAAACCTTCACTCATTTTAAAATACTGTAGTTACACAAATGTATTCTCTGACCACAACGAAATCAATGTAGAAATTGGTAACAGAAAGATAATAGGTAAATGTTCAGTCACTTGGAAACAGCAGCACATTTCTAATAATCCATGGGTCAAAGAAGAAGTCTCAAAAGAAATTTAAGAAAATACATTAAACTGAATAAGGATGAAAATACAACATGTCAAAATTTGAGAGCAGACCAGCTAAAGCAATGCTGAGAGGAAACATAACACTAAATGCGTGTATTAAAAAAGATTGAGTCCCAAATATTGATTAGGCTTCTACCTCACAAACCTAGATAAAGAAGAGCAAACTAAACCCAGAGCAAGCAAAAGAGAGGAAATAATAAAAGTGGAAATTAAGAAAATTGAAAACAGAATAACAATAGTGAAAATCAATGAAACAAAGAGCTGGCTCTTTGGAAAGATCAAAAAAATTGACAGACTGATAAAGAAAAATGACAGAAATGACCATTATCACAAATGGTATCAGAAGCAAGGATATCACTACAGACTCTGCAAGCATCAAAACGATAAGAAAATGCATAAATTTATAAATTAGAACACAAAAATTTATAAATTAGGTAAGAATGGACAATTCTTTGAAAAATATAAATGATCACAACACATTCAGTCTGAAATAGATAATGTGAATAGCACTATAGAACTATTCAGTAAATTAAATTTGTAATTATGAAACTCACTCAGACTCAGATGCTTTTACTGGAGAATTTTACCAAACTTTTAAAGAAGAATTAAAACCAATTCTACACATAATCTTTTCCAGAAAATAGAAGAGGAAGAAACGTTTCCTAATTCATTTTGCAAAATAAGTTTTATCTTGCTATCAAAACCAAAGACACTACAACAGAAGAAAACTACAAACCACTATCCTTTGTGGAATAAACCCAAATATTCTTAACAAAATATCAGAATTGTGCAATATACAAAAGAAACTATACACCTGGACAAAGTGGAGTTTATTCCAAAGTTGCAAGGTTCATTATTTGAATATCAATCAGTGTATTAACATGCTAACAAAGAAAAATCCAATGACTATATCAGTGTAGTAAAAGCATTTTAAAAATGTATACAGCCATTGATGACAAAAACTGTTAGAAAAATAGTGTATTAGTCCATTTCCATTGCATGTAACAAAATACATGAAACTGGGTAATTCGTAAGAAAACAAAATTTATTGTTTACAGTTTCAGAGGCTGGGAAGTCCAAAGTCCAGGGAACACATCTGGTAAGGGTGTTTGGTGGTGGCTTTATAGCAACACAGGGGTCTCACATAGCAGGAGATGGTGGAGCAGAGAGAGAGAGGGAGAGGCTCTCTCGTGCTGTTCTTTTAAACTCCTCAGAACCACATCCATGACCACCACTATTATTAATCCATTCAGTAGGGTATGGTACTCATAATATAATCACCTCTTCAAGGCCCCACCGTGCAATTGCCATAATAGGATTTCCCACCCTCAACAGTTACGCTGGGGATTAAACTTCAGTGACTTTGGGGAGCTATTCAATTCACCACAAACAGGAATATAAGAGAACTGCCTCAACTTGATAAAGAGCAACTTCAGAACACCTACAGCTAACATCATTCTTGATGGTGAAAGACTGAATGCTTTCCCCCTAAGATCAGTAACAAAGCAAGAATGTCGCCCCTTACCACTCATACTCTACATAGTGCTGGAAGTTCTAGCTATTGCATTAAGGAGAGAAAAGGAAGTAAAAGGCACATGGATGAAAAAAGGAAGAGATAAAACTGTCCCTGTTTACAAATGACATGATTATCTATGAGAAAATCTCAGGAAATCAAAAAAAACTGGTAAGTGAATTCTGTAAGATTGTAGGATACCAGATAAACACGCAAAAATCGATTGCATTTCTGTATCCTAGCAATGAACATGTAGACACCAAAATTAAAAATACATTACCATTACAATCACAGATTTAACACGATTCCTGTCAAAATCTAGCAAGAGTTTTGGTAGATAGAAACAGGTTTATTCTAAAGTTCATACAGATAGGTAAAAGAATCTCAATAGCTAAAAACAATTTATTAAAAGAATGGCAAAGTGGGAGTAATCAGTGTACCTGACTTCAGGACTTACTGTGTAAGTTCATCAAAACTATATGGTTTTAGCAGACACATAGATCAATAGAACAGGATAGAGAACCCAGAATTAGACCATATAAATATACCCAATTGATTTTTGACGAAGGTTTAGCAGTTTAATAGAGAGATAGCTTATTCGGTAACTGGTTTTAGAGTAGTTGGGACATCCGTAGGCAAAAAAAATTAACCTTAATCAGTCTCATGCCTTACACAAAAAAATGAACTCAAAGTGGATCACGAATGTAAATATCAAACATAACACTTTTTAACTTTTAGCAATAAATTATGGGAGCAAATCTTTCGGGTCTAGGGCTAGGCAATGATTTCTTAAGACAACACTAAAAGCACAGTTTATAAAAGGAAAAGTTGATGAGTTGGACTTACAAATTTTTTTTTAAGTTTGTTTTGCTCTATTAAGAGGATGGAGGGCCGGCCCGGTGGCGCACTGGATAGTGCGCCACTTGGGAAGCGCGGCGGCGCTCCTGCCCGAGGGTTCGGATCCCACATACAGACCGGTTCCCGCTCACTGGCTGAGCGAGGCGCGGGAGCAACACCGAGGGTTGCAATCCCGTTGCCGGTCCCCGGTCTGGTACGGGGGCAACACTGAGGGTTGCGATCCGTTGCCGGACACGGAAAAAAAAAAAAAAAAAAAAAAAAAAAAAAAAAAAAAAAAAAAAAAGAGGATGGAAAGGCAAGCTACAGTATGAGAGAAAATTGCCATGCACATATCTAACAAATGACTACTAACTAGAATATACAAAAAATTCCCAAAACTCAAAAGTAAAATGACAGTCCAGTTAGAAAATGGGCAAGAGAGATGTAGAGACATTTCACCAAAGATGATATACAAATGGCAAATAAGCATATGAAAACATTTTCAACAACATTAATTAGCCATTAGAGAAATGCAAAGTAAAACCAAAAAAGAGATACCACTGCACAACTATCAGAATAACTAGAGTAAAAAATAGTGACAACACCAGATGCGGTATGGATGCAGAGAATGGGTCAATCATACATTGTTGATGGAATGTAAAATGACAAAGCCATTCCATACAACAATTTGGCAGTTTCTCAAAAAACTAAGTATGCACCTACCATAAAACCCAGCAATTCATTCCTGGGCATTTGTTCCAAAGAAATGAAAATTTATGTTTACATGTAAAACTGGCCATGAATGTATATAGCAGTTGTAATAGCCAAAAACTAGAAACAACTGAGCTGTCATTCAGCTGGTGAATGGTTTAACAAATAGTAGTACACCCTTACCATGAAACACTACTCAGTAATAAAAAGGAATGAACGATTGGTATATGTAGCAACCAAGATCAATATCCAGAGATATGCTGATTGAAAAAAGCTAATCCCAAAAGGTTTCATTCCATTTATATAATGGTTATATAATATAATCTCATTTATATACTGTATTGTTCCTTTTATATAACATTCTTAAAATAACAAAATTATAGAAATAGAGACTAGATTAGTGGTTGTCAGGGGGTTATGTAGAGGATGGAGGAGAAGGAAGTAGGTATGTTGATAAAAGGGCAACATGAGGGTGGTGATAGAAATGTTCTGTCCTGATTATATCAATGTCAGTATCCTGTTTGTGATATTGTATTATAATTTTGCAAGATACTAACTTTGGGGGAAATTAAGTAAAAGGTATAGGAGATCTCTGATTACAACTAAATGTGACTCTATAGTTCTCTCAAAGTAAAAAATTTAACTAAAGAAGAGTGAATCAAGTGGGAGAGTACCTTTTGGTGAAGTAAGTGACAGCGAGGTAGAAATGGATTTTGTAAGACTTTGGAATACCAAAATTAATTTTGGATTTAATTCTTTAGGTAATAAATAGCTGCAAAACAATTTTTTGATTATGGGTATGGCACAAAGTGAGTAAACAGAAAATTACTCTGAGTGCAGTTTATAGAGTAGATTGGATTACGTGTATAATTATAGATTATTACAGTGTTTTACAAATATCTTCTAAAATACCTTAGTGTTTGGATTTTTATTTTTAACGAAAACCTTAAAAATAGAATTGGGTATCCTATGTATTAATAGTTTTAAAAGTACTAGCATTATGAAATTACATGAAATAGCCCATTTAGTTTATAGATGTTAAGTCCTCAAACTGGTATTGTTACTGGAAGTACAACTTTAGCAGAGATTGATAGATATGCTTCTCTTTTTAGGTATGGGTTAATATCTTGGTGTTGTTTCTAACTACATTGCTTGGATCTCTGATTATCCTTTCCCACTGAAATAACATAAATGATGGCTACATTTCTGAAACGCAGATCTCGTTGAGAGTCTGAAAAGTTTGAGACTATTTCTTCAGATAGATGGACCATCCACCTAATTTTTAAGACAACAGGGTCCACAGATCACTGAAAACTATCTCTGAATCTCAGTTTTAAGAAGCTCTGTGAGAAAAAAAGTTCCAGAGTATTTGTATATAGTTAATTTCAGTGTAGTATGTAATCATCCAAAAATAACCACTTAAATGGGCATCTATTTTGCTTGGACAATACCTGTGGCAGCCACCACATGAGATCCAAAAAGTTTTTTAAAAATATCTCATATTGCAGGAGGCTTACAATGTAGTTTAAGAAAAAGCTGTATTTATGAAATGATTATTAATGTCAGATGAGAATAGGGTAGTTTCTGATTTTAGAATGGGAAATAGAATTCCTGATTTATAAATAAATATCACGAAAGTAGCAGAGTGAGATAGGACTATCTGTATTTATTCAAAAACTAATTTAGACTTTATGCTGGACCCTGGGGATAGTGCAATGAAAATATAAACACAGTCTCTACTGTTATGAAGTTTACTGTTTTAAGTGGATTAAATTGTTCAGGAATGGAATGAAGGAATAGTTCACTTTTGGTCCCCGTGTGCAAAAAAAAAAAAGGTTTATGGTGTAGGTTGCATAGAGTAGTGAGAGTATACTTATTGTGCCAAGAACAATTGACCTTGAACAGATTACTTAACCATTTTGAGCCTCAGGGTCCTCATCTGTAAAGTGGGGGTGATGATGGATAATGTAGTAAGGTATTGGGCACAGAGCATGGCAGTTAGCAGGTACTCAATAAGTAGTAGCTTCTGCTCTTATTATTGGTTTGAACAATCCTGAGGAATGGCTACTCAAAAGGAAGAAGGCACTCAAAAAGGAAGAAGCAGGATTTTAGGGGATGGAACATAATTTTAAGAAGGGAAAGGTGGATGTTCCTTTGTTTCCAAGGCAGTATGAAGACTTGCCTGTCTAGTATAAAAAGTTGTATAGAAAGATAATAATATGTGTAATTGCAAACAATGTATAATATCTTTAAAATAAATTATTACTGTTTTACAATTTTCTTGATTACTTTTAAGTAGCTTTTGTTTTGTTTTTACATGACAGTAGCTTTTATGGGGCAATCTTTTATAATATAAAGACTTTGCTTACCAACTTTTACTCATTACTTTTTCAGAGATTGGAAATGCTTATGCTGTTTTAAGCAATCCGGAGAAACGAAAACAGTATGACCTCACAGGCAATGAAGAACAAGCTTTTAATCACCAAAACAATGGCAAATTTAATTTCCATAGAGGTTGTGAAGCTGATATAACTCCAGAAGACTTGTTTAATATATTTTTTGGTGGTGGATTTCCTTCAGGTAATTTAATGTTAATTATAAATATTATATTTTTAAAGTTAGAGATCCTTACCTCTAATTAGGCTACTTAGAGGTTTACCTACCTTCTCCCCTACATTTCTTCCAGTGTTATGATCCTGTGATGGTTTTTCATGAAGATAGGAGAAAAATGTTAAGGTTATTACTTTTACTGTAACCTGTCTTTTTCCTAGAACATATTTTAATTAAAAAAAAAAAAGAAGTGTATAGACATTCTGTGTTTTATATAAAGCTGAAGAAAGAGAGTGTAAGCAGGAAATCCAGTGACAATATCTTAGGCAAGTGCTGTTACATGGGAGGTATCCTGCACTCTGGATGACTACTTGACATTGGTTCTCTGGAGATTTTTGTAAACATTTTATTAATAACATTATAGATTGCTAATTTGGTTGTGGAAGTCCTCATGTGTATTTCCACTGAAATAGTAAAAAGTCTGACTGATATATATAATGTAAGTGTTTGGGTTTTCTTTTATTACATTAAGATAGAAATAAGCTATCAAAGTGTAACATTGTAGTGGTACGACTAAATGAGTAGATTTTATAGTACCAGCGTAAGTAGGATTGAACTATACTTACATTTACTGTGAGCTGTTTGTGTTGAAATTAATTTTCTTTGAGAGTAGCTCCTCCAAGGTGCTTAAAATTATAGCTCCAGTCTTCTTTTCAACATTTATTTCAGGTACTGAGTTAAACATCACATTTAAAATTAGGAGAATATGAATGAAGCAATATAATTTGGCCCAGTGGTCCTCTCTAAATGTTATTGAAAAAGGTTGTGGTTATTGAAAGTTTGTGATTATTGATGCATTTTGCAAAGCATATTTGAAGGAAAGAGGATATGTAAATACAAATTAATGACAGAAGATATAACTTGTGTTTTGACATATTAGAATACATAATTACCTCTCACAGAAAAATTATTGAAAGTAGTAATTTTGACTGAAAATATTCTAGGAACAATTAGAAATTTTTCAGGCAATAGTGAATGTTTTTTTTTAATAGTAGATTTGCAGCTCTTTTGCCAGTTATAACATAGTTTACTTTGTCAGCAGTAGCCATTTCTGGTTGGTCATCATATTTGAAAATAACTTGAGTATCTATCTGCAAGAGAACATTTGATTAAATTGTGGTCTTTCTATACCATGATACATTATACGGCTATTTTTTAAAAATGAATTAAAATGCTATCTTTTGATTTCTAGAGATGTTTGCAATTCATTGATAAATGTGGAAAGTAGTGTTTCAGAATAATGATCCAAGGTTTGTAAAAACAGCCAACCACAACAAGTCCTCTTATATGTGTAGCAATTAGTGAAGAACTCCTACTCAAATTTCCACAAATAAGAAACTTCTGTCTTGCCTTAAGGAGGCAAAGTCTGGGAAGAATCATGCCTTTTTCTGTCTACTTTTCACTCATAAGAGGAGAAGGCAGTAAGCAATCACTTCTTAAACATGCATTATTTTAGTAATTTTACAAAAAGAAAAATGTGCAAGAAAATATGATTTTTCTGATCATAATTGCTCTCCCTAATTTAACCTTGCTTTTAATTTTCTAGGTAGTGTACATTCATTTTCAAATGGGCGAGCTGGTTATAGCCATCAACATCAGCATCGACATAGTGGACATGAAAGAGAAGAAGAAAGAGGAGATGTATGTTTATAATATGATTAGAAATCACAGAATGGCAAATTTCAGCTCAGGAAAAGCAATTAGAGTTTTCTAAAAATAGAGCAAGTTGTTTTAGGAAGTTATCAGTTTTTTCTTACCAGAATTGTTTAATAGAGACTAGAAAATCCCTTAGGGATATTGTAGGAACAGGGGTAAAGGTAAGGGTAGAGGGTTGTTGGGCAGTATCACCCCTTCAGATTTGGTATTCTATGATTCTAAAGAAGATACAATTGCACTGTGCATGTTTTGGAGGTAACTTCTTATTGTTGGTCCTAAAGAGTTTAGAATTAATACACAAAAGCTTAAATTAGAAGTAACTTTCCTTGTTCTAATGCAGTTATACCTAATTGTCTGTAGCAATTAAATTACACGAAGTGGAAAGGTAAATGGAAAGAACACTAGACTAGAAATTAAAAGACCTGGGCCCCAGCTCTACCACTCATCAGCTCCCATCTTCCACCCTCAAATCCAAGGTAAAAATAGTTTTGCAACCTGCAGCATATTGATAGAGTCTCTATGTGTGTGAGAAAAAGAGAGACAGGGACTTGCTCATCTGTAAAATGATATCAAGTTATATCAGTGTCTTTCAAATAAAAATCTCCTGTTGATGTGCCTGGAAAGTTGTATTTTTAAGAATCACCTCAGGAGGATGATATGATCAGGCAGATTTGAAAGCACTGAAGTAGATGATCTCAGAAGTCTTTTCTGCCTCAAAAAATGTGTGACTACTGTTGGGTTATTGACAACTACAGTTATATTACAATTTGTTATTTTTTGATGATTTTTTATAGGGAGGTTTTTCTGTGTTTATCCAGCTGATGCCCATTATTGTATTGATCCTCGTGTCATTATTAAGCCAGTTGATGGTCTCTAATCCTCCTTATTCCTTATATCCCAGATCGTAAGTAGCTAAGTGAAATTTAACAAAATGAATTGTTGCTGTTTCTTATCTAGCTTCCTTTAAAGGGCCTTGTGCTCTTTTAAACGTTTAAGTAACAAATCTGTTACTACAAGTGTACCAGATTTAAAAATCTCTATCTAATTTTTAAAATAGTTACTTAAGTGATAAATCTGTGTTATGTTATTCACATTTCTGTCCCACTGTGGATAAGGACAGAAGCGCTATATTTGAACATGATGGCAATTTAATATGGTAGTTAATGTGTTCGCATTAAAGACAAAGAATATTTTAAAAACAAAAAGAGTAGTGATTGATCTTACATACAGTTGTGTCATTAAGGCAAAATGACTTTTATGTTTGTAAAATATTGATTAAATAAAAGCAAATACTACTTTTTTGTTATATGAGGTATTTTTCTACATATACTTTATATAGAGTATATACTAGAGGTTCGGATATAAAGGAAATTTAATACATTATCCGTTCTAGACCACTTTAATGTAATACAATTAGCATAAAGAAAGCTTTATAAAATTATATTGGCAGAAATTTTACAATATTAAAAACAGATTGGTCTAAAAATAAGAATTAACTTTTTATTTCTTCCAAATAAGACTTTTATTACCTAAAAATTGAGTGAACTTTATAAGAACATAGTATATTAAAAGTGTGGTTACTTTTTTATGACATGAAATTGTGGTTTTAGGCAATTTGAGAAAATATAAATAAATTATTACCAATATTAACTTTTTAATTATTATTATTTTTGTTAGCTTGGTTTGTAGTAGCATATTAGAATGTCCAATTTTAATTTAAAAATGATCATTCTTCTCTTTTACAGTGGATCAGGGCAAACTATTAAAATGCAGACGGAAAACTTGGGTGTTGTTTATTATGTCAACAAGGACTTTAAAAATGAGTATAAAGGAATGTTACTACAAAAGGTAGAAAAGAGTGTGGAAGAAGATTATGTGACTAATATTCGAAATAATTGCTGGAAAGAAAGGCAACAGAGTAAGTTCATCAGATGTTTAACATTTTAAAACTTATTCACAGCCTTTGGAATTGATTACTGTAGATTTCCCTACTCAAGGAATGTTCTGGAATTCCCTGGCACATAATTAGAGCTCAATACTTAAATGAGATAATATGTTTTCAATATACGTGTGGTCTAACACAGCACTTGGTACACAGTAAGGACTTAATAAATGGTACTTGTGTTATTGTTGTTATCAGTAACTATCTGGTTGAATAAGTGAATAATGCTAAATTTCATTGTCTACTGTAAGATGCATCACTATTTTATGTTTCCCTAAGAAAGAAAAAGAATACTGGCAAATAAACTGTGACATCAATTTTTGAGATGCATCCCATTTGAGAGTTAAGTTTGAAACTCTTAATTAATTTAGCTTTAACATTTAGCATTTAATGTACAATGAGTTTTTTGACATTTTATTTTCCTTTATTTACTTTGTGCATAGAGTAACGCTCAGGAACTTGCTTAGCCTTTTCCAGCCAGTTTCCTTAGTTTATGAAAAAGCTGTACCTTTAAAAAGGTTGACCATAAGAATATGCTGAAATGATACGTGTGAATTGATTGTTGTTATGGTTCTTGTTTTTGTGGCTGTTATAAATAATAATGTAGACCATATAGTGTAGTGTTAGGAGCACTAACTTTGGAATTAAATGACTAAAGTTGAAAACTAGGTCTGAAGTTTTTAGCTGAATAATTCAAGTCAGATATTGTAACCTCTGTGAGTTTATTTCTTCTTGTATAAAATTGGTGATGATGAGTGGAAGGAGGAAATTATAACTGTCATTTATATAATGTGTATTGCTTCAGTCACTGTGCAAAGCACTTTATGTAGGAGGGTACTTCAAAAAGTTCATGGAAAGATTCGTGTTATCTTTCAATTTTATTTTTCCATGAACTTTATAAAAATCTTTTCATGAACTTTTTGAAGTGCCTTCATATGTTAACTCATTTAAATCCACAACAACCCTGTGAGGTTTTTATACCCATTTTACACATGAGGAAACTGAGGCAAAGAGAGATTAGTAACTTGCCCAAGGTCATAGAGGTAATCTGTGATTGAAAACCAGACAGTTTGTCTTTAGAATCCAGGCCTAGTGCTCTGAAGTCCTCTCAGTAATAACTATAGGTTTGTTGTGAGAATTAAACAGGCTTCACACATAGTAAATGCTCAGAAAATGTTAGAATTTAGCATCATCTCTTGCTTGCTAGGGAAAATTTGATAAAATGTAACTTTTTGTGTACAGTCATGTGTTGTGTAAGGATGTTTCAATCAATGATGGACCACATATACAACAGTCGTCCCATAAGATTTTAATGGCTATACCATATAGCTTAGATGTGTAGTAGGCTATATTATCTAGGTTTGTGTACATACACTCTATGATGTTCACATAATGTCCAAATGGCCTGATGATGGGTTTCTCAGAATATATCCCTTTTGTTAAGTGACACATGATTTTACTACTGAGAGAGTTTTTACCCTCTCTGGCCATGGTTTCCTCATCTATATAAAGGTAGTTAGAGGAAATGTGACCTCTTTGGCTTCTAACTCTATGAATCTGTGAAATCAGTCTGTTCTCAATGTGGAAAGGGTTACTTTAGTCTAAAGGTTTTCAGGTTTTCAGCTATGAGTGAATTGCTGCCCTCTATCCCCACAAACCCCCTAATATTTGGTAATGTTTGGAGACATTTTTGTGTGTTGTCGTGGACCAAGGGTGGGAGTGGGAGGGATTGCTACTGGCATCCAGTGGGTTGAGGCCAGGAATGCTACTAAGCATCCTACAATGCTCAAGAGTGCTCCCTCAACAAAGAATTATCCAACCTCAAATGCCAGTAGTGCCAAGCTTGAGAAGCTTTGAGGGCAATAAATAACAAATGTTATTTATTTAATTTTATTTTTTTGATCTCCAGTACCTTGCACAATTCTTGGCATATCATAGTTATATAGGAAGTATTTGGTGGAGGTATAAACAATTGGATGAATAATTTATGAATTCATATGAATGAATACATGGAAAACATGCTTATTTTGTTTAAAATGAATGACTGGCATATTAAATATGTCTGCTTTCAAATACAAGTTCTAGTTCCCAGCCAAATACAGATGATTTTTGGATTATACATACTTACATTCTGTTAACTTGAATAATTGGGGTTGACTGTGTAATAAGAAGGAGGAAGGAAAAGATATTCATATTTATAGGAAATAGTATAACATGGTTAGAATATAGGCTCTGGAACTGCCTCACAAGATCCTGACTATACCAATACATTTCCTAGACCAAGTTATTTAACCTCTCTAAATTTCAGTTATCATTAAAATATGGACAATAACAGATAATATATTTTAGCACTTAACATAGTGTCTTGTACCATTAAGTGTTCAATATTATTATTTATTATAATTAATGATTACTTTTTATTGCATCCAACTACAAGCCAAGTGTTTTTGCTTGGCATAATCTAGTTTAATCTTTTAACAATCCAGCAAGAGTGATATTAATAGGTTTCATGGACCCTTCAGTCCATGTTCTGTCTGCTACACTAAGTTGTCTGCAACTATATTACACATTTACGTGGGTATCTTAAAATTGTTATCAGAAGTTTTAACTAAATCTGCTTTTAAGTCATTCATCTACAAAACAGCTTGCTTGCATTCAAAGTTATCAATGAAACAAAAGACAAAATTCTTCAAAACTAAAAGAGACTAAAGGGACATAATATCTAAAAACAGTGTATAATCCTGGATATGATCCTGGATTGGATCTTGGATGTGGGGGGAAAGTCCATAAAGAACTTCATGGGACAACTGGTGAAATTTGAATATGGACTGTACATTAGATAATGGTATAGTATCATTGTTAACTTTCCGGGGTTTTTTGTTTGTCTGTTTGTTTTGGTGGCTGGATCTTAAGGGGATCCGAACCCTTGACCTTGGTGTTCTCCCAAGTGAGCCACCGGCAAGCCCCCTCATTGTTAAATTTCTGAACTTGATAATTATATTCCAGCTATATAAGAGAATGCCCTATTCTTAGGGAAAACATGCTGAAGTAATTAAGAATGAAAAAGGTCATGATGTCTGCAACTTACTCTCAAATGTTTGTGCAAAATAACTATAATAGTAACAATAGCCTTTATTGTAGAGAGAGATCTAAAGCAAACTTGACAAAATGTGAAGAATTGGTCCATCAAGATAAAGAGTTTTAAGGTGTTCATTGTACTACTCTCAATGTTTGTGTAGGTGTGAAATTTTTTAGAATAAAATTTAACAAACTCAGTACTTCTATAAGTTAGGAGTTTTGTGATGATTGAATGTTTTATTTGTTGACTAGGATTAGATTATCTTGTTTAATAAAGTCATCAGATGGATGATTGGCCAATGGATATACTACTGCTAGGGTTTTTCTGTTTTGGAGTCACTTCTAAATACTCGCTAATGTCTAGATTGGTAAAATAAGTGTTTTATAGAATACCAGTAGAAATCAGAAATTGAAAATAACAGAAAGAATATTAGATTAGGAATTGATTTGGAGATCAGCAGTATGAGCTTTCATTTATCTAATTCTTAAGTACCTTATTTGGGAAGAGTCATCTGCAAATGTATTTTACAAGTACATTCTTTGTAAATAAAGATATAGTATAACATTGATTGAGTTGTTAATTCTATTCCAATTGATTGAATAAAGATCAATTTCTGGAGATCTTTACAAATTGAATACACTGTCACCTGTGAGTATATTTAGTGTGTGGTTCTGACTGATGGATATAAACTAGATGTCCTTTATTTTGGCCATTGTTTTTTAGAAATTAACTGATTTTTTTTTCTTTTCTTTTCTTTTCTTTTTTTTTTTTTTGTTACATCTTCTCTAAGTCCTCCCACCCTTTAGAAGTGTTAGTGGGGCCGGCCCGGTGGCGCACTGCTACAGTGCGCCGCTTGGGAGCGGGGCAGCGCTCCCGCCGAGGGTTCGGATCCCACATACAGACCGGTTCCCGTTCACTGGCTGAGCGAGGGGCAGGTGCAGCACCGAGGGTTGCGATCCCGTTGCCGGTCCCGGTCCGGTACGGGCGCGACACTGAGGGTTGCGGTCCGTTGCCGGACACGAAAAAAGACAAAAAAAAAAAAAAAATAATAAATAAAAAAATAAAAAAAAATAGAAGTGTTAGTAAACAGTGAAATGGCTGGAAGTAACAGAAAAAACAAGGGCTAAGAATTTTGATTTGTAGTTCATATACTTATCATTAGTAGCTATAATATCCATACATTGAAGGAAGCCTCAGATGTACTTATTTGCTGAATACTGCTCTTATGATTGTATAATGATTGTACAACAAATGTTTTTCCTCTGTGTTCCTTTAGTAATGTCATTATATATTTTTTAGACTCAAACTCAAAACAAGTTTTTAAATTTCATACTTAACTCTTGGGATAATTAATCTGAAACCTTAACAAAAGATCACAGCAAAACAACCATTAGCAGGACTGAATACCATATGATATTTTTAAGATAAGAGGCCAAGATGTTGCTTCAGAGCACTGCGGTTTTAAACTATTGGGGACAGGAGTGGAAGGAAAGGGTTCCAACATGAGTTGACAGGATTCTTTTTTTTTTTTTTTTTTTCTTTTCTGTGTTTGTTTTACATGCTAGGTTGGGTTCCGGTAAAGGAAAGGGTTCCAAAAGGGGTTGACATGATTTTTTTTTTTTTTTTTTTTTTTCTTTTCTGTGTTTGTTTTACATGCTAGGTTGGGTTCCGGTAAAGTTTTCCTTTAAGGAAAAGTTTTTCTACTTAAAATGGCTTTTAAAAGTAATACTTGGATTTGTTTTTTCTTTTTTTCTTTTTAAAGTCACTTAATAGAAAATATATTGAAGGGCTTCTATGAGACATCATTTGAGTTTAAGCAACTTAGGTAATGTAAATTATTATTTAATTAGCAAAATGTTTTTGTTTGTTAACAGAAACAGATATGCAACACGCAGCAAAAGTATACCGTGATGATCGACTCCGAAGAAAGGCAGATGCCTTAAGCATGGACAACTGTAAAGAACTGGAGCGGTTGACCAGTATTTATAAAGGAGGATGAACTGGAATTTTTATTTACACCTTTTAGTGTACTCTTTCTTTTTTCTGTAAGTAAGTTTAGTTTCATCATGAGAGCTGAAGAAAAAGATTTGATATTAAAAACTACTGAATGGTTGGTTCCTGGAATCTTGGACTGTTTATGACCTACTGGCTCCTTTAAATAGTGAAAATTGAAAACTAAAATTAACATTTTAGTTATGCTTCTACAACTATTTTCATTTTAAAAGCTTATATGATTTCTAACTAAAAACGTCTTGAGAAAGGATTATCACACCTTTAGCAATTTCCACCTTTAGTGTTTCTCCATTTTTACCCTTATCATGTAAATATTTATGGAATGACCATTTTGTGTATATACAGATTATTGCCCTTTTATTTAAATTCTTTTAGATTTTAGCTCCATGAGACACTTCAGTTTAAATTGATAGGATAAATGTCATATGAAACAATTACATTTTCCTTGTCAGGTGTTGAATATGTGCAGTTTAAATAATGAAACTTTTTTCAGAAAGAAAAGAAAACAAAAACTGTTTAACTTTGTGTAAATCTTATAGCATTATTAGCTTAGAGAGAATTGATATTTTTAATATTGCCATTATATTCCAGAATACATATATATTGAGATAAATGGACTGGTGTACAGTATCATTTTGCTATTTAGTTTTATGAATTTCCAAGCCATGCGTAGATATGAAATGCTATACTGATAGATTTTGAAGAAAATATGAGGAAATGACTATAAATATTAAAAGGATCTTCAACAGTACATTGCAGTTATGCTATTTGCAATTTCAATCATTAAAAGGCCCCCAAATGTTTATTTATGTGTCTTAGAAGGCTGCTAAAATTTATGAAGAAGAGGACCCACCTAATTTCCCCCCTTGGAAATTTGCAGTTTCTTAGTGATCATTTAAGCAGGATGCAAAAGTAAATGGATTCTTCTACAAATAAGTAATAAGAAAAAATTATTACTAAAATATAGCTTCGTGCCTTTAACCCTATTGCCATCTCTTAAACATATAAGTAGATTACATTACACTTTTTTGATCAGAGCATGATCTGCTTAGCCACATGTGACAGTGAGCAGATACACAGCAGCAGGTAGAATAGTGATTTATAGCAAGTCATCCTTAAAAAATTCTGAGCTAAAATCTATTCATCACCGAGTAATTCAATTAATCCTATAGGAATAAGCTCCTTTTTATTAAATCCATAATATAAATTAGAGTAAACCAGCTGGAAATTAAAGTTTTGGAGCCTCTATATTGCATATGAAACTTTGACTCTGGTCTATGTTTGACAGTTGTAATATTTTAATGATTTTTCTTCATATTCAGTTAATGGAACATGAACATATCTTTGATCATTTTTTGTGAGTGAGATAATGTTAGATAGAATGGCTTTGTTCTTTTGTTTACAGATTTTTTTCTGAATGTAGTTAATTTATGAGATCTGTTGAATAAAACTTTAGCAAAATGACCTCCTAAAAATGTTCTCTAGTATCCCCTTTTCCAGATGAATCAATTGAAATGCCTGATTGAATTTGTAGATTAAACTAAATAGTATACTGTCGTAGGAAAGGACAACTTAACCAACTTGCTTGTAGAAATGTGACTTAAAAAAAAAAAAACCAGTGCTTAAAAGAAAGTACAATTTTAAATATTTTCTCTAGCTTAAAGAACACATTTTTTAAAAATAAGATCATAGCATTCTAATTAACTTTGAAAGTTCATTTGCACCAGAAAATTTATAAAAATGTAAACAAAAAAATTCATCTATTTATTTTTTCAGTTTTAATGGGAAATTTAAATTGTTGTAGTTGATATTATGTGAACTAAACTTTCATGTTGATTTTTTTTTTTCCTCCCTTACTGTCAGCTTTAAAGGGATAGACAAAGTTATCAAGTTAAGGGATATCATAAACCATACATCAAATCACACGTGGCTTTTGGACAGTGTTATATTTCATTTGCATTGCTGCATTCCATTACATTTCATAAAATGTTGGGAGAAATGTGTTTGATAAAATAAAATTTTCAAGCAACTGTGGGAAATGACTAATGGAGTGCCTGACAATTTAAGCTACATATAAAGTATGCAAGTAAAAATTAAGTCCTTAATGTCACCTGTATTATGGTGTAAAGGCCCAACAAGTGTCTTAGAATTTTGTGTTAACTTTACAAAGTAAGAAGGCTAGATATCTTGAGATGTAAGATTTTCATGTTTGCTATTTATTTATAATTAAAAAATCCCAATTTTTACCATTTTACTTTTATCTACATGAGCCTTTACAATTTTATGTGATCATTTTAATCACCACCTAAAAGCCCTCATCAATCTTTTAGTATTTCTTTACTAGCTTGTCTAACTGATATTTTAGAAGTTTGGCAGCAGTTATGTTTATTAATGCTTTACATTGTTATCCCTTTTTACATACATACACACACACACACAAACACAAACATTATTGTCCTTATGAGGATTTGGGGAAAAGAAAATAGTACCTTTTCTCCTCTTCTATTTATTCCTTAGTTTCCAAATAGAATGGTGCTAAGCATTTAGTCATTTGTAAGTTCCAGAATTTATTTTGATCAAATAAAAGAACTGAATTCTCAACAATGAGAAATTTTAAGTTATAATTCATCTAATAAGTGAAATTAATATATTTTAGACATAAATTGCATTTGAATACTTAAGTATTTGTTTCATAATCATTATGTGCTTATTTATGATTTACAAAGATTTTGGTAGAAAAAAGTAAAGTCCTTAAGGCATATACATATATATGTGCGTGTTTGTGTGTGTGTGTGTGTGTGTGTGTATGTGTGTGTATGTGTGTGTGTGTGTGTATATATGTATGTATGCCATTGCATTAAACTATTCTGCTTTTGTGTCATCTCAGGAGTTCACAGGGACAGGAATGTGGATTGCCAGGCCTTTACTTTAATTGCACTTTTATGCTTAATTTTTCTTCCTGTTAAATCTTCAGTTTACACTAGTGTATAAAATAAATACTGAGAGAAATGATTGACTTTTTGATTTCCCTTCTGTTGATTTGTAACATTTTAAAATGCAGCTATTATTTAACATATGTGACATGCTGTTACTTGGTGGGTTCCTATATATTTCATTAAAAAAAAAATAAATCTCCCACTCACGTTAAGGCAGTCAAATATTTCTTGATGTTGGCCCGAGGACCAAATGAGCCATCTTTCCAGTTAAACGTGTTATTTCAAAGGACCAAATGGTTAAAAGAGGAGAATTTGTGCATTTATTTAGCTTCCCCATGTGAAACTTGGGTTCAGTACTACCCATGTTACTATCCTTCTTCATCCTGAGGAAGCAGACTGAAAGGGAATTTATAATCTTTTTTTCTTATCTGAACAGAAAAACTAATGGAAAATAAATCTGAATTTTAATCTTCACTAAATACCTGAAAAGCCTTGTTTATTGGCCACGTTGGACTACTGCCTAATTAAAAGCCTATAAAATTCTCTATAAACTAATGAAAAACAAAGGAGTAGTCTAGTAATAATTTCCAATTTTTTTCGTTTTAATTCTAATTTTTAATTACAAAGAAAAAGTGGATAGAAGAGGCTCTTCAAGGAATTCTTGCATGTCCCTTTAATAATCTGGCAGGCAACACAGTCCTAGAATTCAGGCTTCCTTTTTGGTTTAAATAGATACTTTCATATAAATGGAAATAGTTTTCCGGAAATAGTTTTCCTCAAAATGTTAATTCAAAACATACTCCTTATATTAAGGATCATGTAACCACATATTTGTAAAATTCCCTGTGTATAACTTTTTCCTGTTGGTATGTGTTCCTTTTCATTTAATTTGATTATCTGCTGGTGTTGGGGCCAATAGATTTGTGAATATTCTTTGGATGTATTCATGTATAGGTGTATTTTTTTTTCCCCAGCTAATACCTCAAATGTGTGATTGTTTAATATATACCACACTATGTTTGCACAGAGCAGGGCTTCCATTAGCAGTGAGTATTCTTATTTCTGATTTTGAAAATCAGTCCACAGAATTTCATTGATGTGAATTCCTTCTGTTGATCTTTTTCATATTTTCCTATTATAAGGCCCATATTTCAAATATTGTATCTTTTTATATCTAGCAATCTGGAAATACATAGGGGTAAGAAGTGTTTCTTGAAATGTCTTAGTTTAGGGCCAGCCCTGTGGCACACTCGGGAGAGTGCGGGGCTGGGAGCGCAGCGATGCTTCCGCCACGGGTTCGGATCCTATGTGGGACTGGCTGGTGCGCTCACTGGCTGAGCGCGGTGCGGGCGACACCACACCAAGGGTTGTGAATCCCTTACCGGTCATGAAAAAAGACAAAAAAAAAAAAAGAAATGTCTTAGTTTAGTAAGTTATTGTTAAAAATTGGTATGACTAGTTGCCAAGATGTGTAGTAACTACGTTGCAAATGACACCTGGCATGAATGTGAGCAAGTCTCATTCAGTTCAGTACAAGATTTCATACATTCCAATCTGATATTCTGCTTTGCCATTTAAGGCCACTATTTGGAGTATTTTAATTATGAGTTTCAAAATGAATTGTTTTTGAGTTGGACTATACCAATGAGAAGAAACTCACACATAAATGATTTTTTGTAATTTATTTGTATTAAGAAATGCTTCTTACCTACTTTTGGTTTTTGTCTTATTTTTGGTTTTTAGATTGCTACATAAGATTTTCTTTCCATTTAAAGTTTAGTTTATGTGTTTTAAAAAGCTGCAGGTAATTTTCAAGGTGTGATGGAATTTTAATGGAAGCCTTGTATAAGTTAAATGAAGTGAAACTGGTAAAGGAGATCTTAACTTTATTTGTCTTTAGTGCATTCAGGGTTATACAGTTAGGTTCAAAAATGAAATACATGATTTGTAAAATATTTAACGTTATATCAGACTTATATAAAATAAAATTTTCTGTGTGGGAACTCTTAAAATGCATTTGATTTTTAATGAATGTTTTTGCTGAATGATTTATGATGATTTTTGTCTTTCAGTCTCTGTAGTTTATCTCAATATATTAATAAAAAAAGAAGGTATGTTCTCACTGTAAAAGATTTGTTTTTATCATGTTTTATATTGTTAGCATGTCCATTCTTTCATTCATTCGACCATTCACCAAATGTAGGAATTCCTGCTATATCCCAGGCAGTGAGCTGGGTGTTGTTCATCTTTGAACAAGACAAAAACTCTTAGGAAGTTTACATCTAGCAAAGGAAATAAATGCCAAATAAATAGCTAATTGTAATTATGACATGCTTCAAAGAAAATTACGGGGTACAATGAGGGCATATCTATATGTAGAAGATCTAAGTTTTTCTAGGAGGATCAGAGAACATTTCTTTGAGAAAGTGAACTCAGTTGAAACTCAAAAGATGAGATAAGTAAGAGTGACATGAATGCTGGAGAAATATTTTAGCCAGAAGTGTGCTAAGTTGGTAATGCCACAAAAAATTTATGGAAGCGAAAACAAACTTGTATGATTATAGCATGAGGAATCCAGGGTAAGTGAGAGGATTAAAATAAGATAGGAGCAATCTGGTGATCCCCGTAAGACCATATATAAACTATGATGATGATATTGGACTTATCCTAAGTCAGTAGAAAATTTTTGAGATTTTTAAGGAAGGAATTACAGGATCAGATTTGAGCTTTTAGAATATCATTTTAGTTGCTGTGTGGAGAAGACTGGATGGGAAAAGTGAATGTAATAAGGATAGGAGGTTATTGTCAAAGAAGAGATCATCATGGCTTGGACCAGGATAGGAATATAAAAAAGTAAATGATTTTCAGAGATATTCAGGAGGTGAAATCAAGAGAATTGTTTGGTTGATTGGATTTGGGACATATGGAGGCAGCAATTAAAAATCAGGCTAAAATTTTCCAAAAATGTGTCTATGAAAGGGAATAGAGAAAAAGGGTAGTAGCTGGAAGAGAATGTAGTTTCTAAACAAGGCTTTTATTTTTTCAATTATTATGTATTACATGAGAAATCTCACTAATTGGAAAGGGGCACATAGAAAGTTAAAGAGTGAAGACAGAGAAAAAGAGGGATAATAGCATTAAGTACCTGATATGGCCAGAGGATATAGGCTCCTTTGCAAGAATTACAGTCAGAATTACAGTCAGTCCTCCATATCCCAGGGTTCCACATCCATGATTCAATCAATCATGGATTGAAAATATTAGGAAAAAATGACAATACAACAATAAAAAATAATACAAATATAAAAGCTAATATAGTCTAAATATAAAATACAAATGTAAAAACCAATATAGTAGAACAGCCGTTTACATCCCTTACATTGTATTAAGTTTAATAAGTAATCTAAAGATGATTTAAAGTGTATGGGAGAATGTGTGAAGGTTATGTGCAAATACTATGCCATTTTATATGAGGGACTTGAGCATCCTAGGGTTTTGGTATTTGGGGGAGGTCCTGGAACCAGTCCACCATGGAAACTGAGGGAGAACTGTACTTTAGCTAAGAGACACCACCAGCATTGTTTCAGAAAGGAATGCAAAGAGGATAGGTTAGAGTGGGATGTTATGTCTTCCATTTTCTTGAAATTGGCAGTTTACCTGTGTAATGTGGGGGACAGGGAAAGAATGATAAGCAGAAACTTAGAAAGAATGAAGATGATTTGAAGGATCATTTTAACTGAATCAGTAAGCTGACTAGCAAAACGGTGATTTCTATGGGTCTCAAGTTGATGATAGAATTTACAATCTTTGGTGTTGTGAATTTTCACCAGCCTAACCCAACTAAATGAGAATACAACTCATTCAGCCTATCCAAATTTGAGATTTTGTCAGGCAGGACAGATGGTAGGGTAGTTTAAATGTTGACAAGTGAGTGATTCTACAGACTGTGGGATATGAGCAAGAGATTGGGGGGATTAGTGATTTCTTAGATGACTGCCTAAGTCCAGAGTGTGATGGCAGTGGGTGGTAGTATAGAAGACAAAGTTATTGCATATGATCTTATACTTGTATTCTCATTGGAACAAATCTCAAACCACAGCCAGAGTAAACATTGGCGAGATATTTTCCAATTTGGCCAGTTTATGTGATAAAATAATTTTCATTTTTGTGTGTTGGAAAATCAGTAAGACTCTCCTCCCCATATGAGTTTGAATACCAACTAGAATTTTCACACAGACAGTGGAGCCAGTCTAAACCCAGGTGATTGTTAATTTTTTGATAAGAAAGTAGAATAAAGAAAAATTGAGAAATCTCTGTTGTACACACAGCTAAGAGAAATTTAAGCTAAAGAAGCAGAAACAGAGGCTCAGATATAAGCAATAAAGTTAGAACTTTAACAACATGTGCATATTTATTTACTATATACATTTACCAATATGCTGTGTACATAATAAAATAGAAAATTTGATGAGATAAAATTGTGTGTGTGTGATTTCTGTTAGTTTCTTCCTGAACCTCAGGGATCATCTGGTTGGTACACTCCACTTTACAGAACTGGTACACACACTGATAATCTTTTAGTCCAGTAAATATCTCCCATAGTCCTGTACCAACAGCAATGGTATTAATGAATAAATGCAAACATCAGTCTGAGTACATAAGGAGCTCTCCAATTAATATACCATAATTCTGAAGCCACCACACTTGGAAATTAGAAATCTAATTATTAGTTCTTTAATTCTGAGGACATAGTGATGTTTGAAGATCTTGGAAAGCTATGCTTTCCTGTTTTGCTACTTAAAAGGAAGAGAAAAATCATCAAATATTTTCCAGGCTAACTACCATTTATTAAGGTCATCAAGATGTGTTAAAATGAAAAGTAGCACTTCCAGAAATTAAGAGATTCTTGCTAGAGTTCATGTTTTTATTTGCCTCTCAACTTGGAGGCAAATGGTGAAGGGGAATACGAAGTTGTAGTTATGGTCAGGATTAATGGTTTCTTTTAATCACTTTTATTTAATAAAAATTGAATGACTGTCTTTTCAGTATAAGGCATTATTATTAGGCATTGTAAGAAACAGGAAAAATGTAAAACATGACCCAGCCTTCTGGACCTTATGGTCTTACTGGGGAAAGAAACCAAACTATAACACATAATTATGCACAAATAAATATCAATTATTCTTGGTAGTGAGATAAGAGGTTCTCACTTTTGAAGGGTTTAAGTTTTGGGCCACTCCCCTGGGTCTCAAACCACTCCCTTAGGACTCAAGCTCCACCTCCGAGTCCTAAGCTATCTAGCACCTATTTTCAATACCAGCATGTGACAACTGAGACCAAAGGGGGCAGACTTAGGTACTATTTCACTGGTAAAAGGAGTTTATTCCTTGAATGGCTTTCCACTGGAGGCACTAAAGAACACCAAATATATTTGAATATATGCAGTGCATGCGATGGAATTTGACCAATGAACATGCTCCAAAGAGACCAACTGAGCACGTGCAAGTCTGTGTTACATAACTGAGAACCACCCCCCCTTAGTTGAATGTTCATTAGATAGCATGAATTTATAACATAGCAAAACTATAAAAGTTGAATCCCAGTTTCTACTGGATGGGTTATTGCTCACTTTCCTGGTGTCCAACCTGCACATCACAGGCCGGGTGTCTGTGCCTCACTTCTGTGTCTCACTTACTGTTAATGGGCAGCTGCTCACTTTCTTGAGCCAGCCTACACTTCGTACTACACTTTAATGTGTGTTTCTTATTTTTGTATTAAACTTGGTGCATGCCCTGCTCAGTCTCTGGAGCTAGCCCACACTTTCTCTGTGAAATCTGTACTTCTTATCTGTTACATGAAACCTGTGTTCGTTTTCTACTGTGACTCTGCTTTTGAATTATTTTCTGTGGTGAAATCAAGAACCTGGTAAGAGGATGGGGTGGGTTGAAGCTGGCTATCTGGCCTCCCTAGACCCTTTCCTCTGATATCAGTAATATATAGTAGCATCCAAGAGATTGTGATGGGTATCAGGAAAGAAGATTTAAATAGCTAAGGTAGAGAGAAACAAGCATTTCAGATAAAAAGAATCTCCAGAACCAGTGTGGGGAAGTAAAAGTCATGTTGATGGAAGGGTGAAGTAATCAACCTGGCTGAAGTAAGAGGCTACGCATTAGAATGCATTCAGAAGTAAAATAGAATGTGTTAGAGCCACATTAAAAACTCTTAACTCTATCATTGTCTACAATGGTACATCACTGAAGTTTTTTGAGCAGGTAGTACTATGCATTGTTTTAGGAAGTTTTATCTGTCATTATTAAGTTATTGATATAGTCTTGCTGAGTAGAAATAATGGTTTGAATCAAGAATTGAAAAAATATAGATGTAAAAATCATTGTTAGGGAACAAAAGGACACAAGGAAGGAAAAAACAGCAGACATGATTACTGACTAGTAGAGTCATGATACCAATACAGACATAGATTAGGACAAACATGTTTATTACAAGTTTTTAGACCTTTAGAATTAGAGTTGACAGCAAAGCATGTAAGTAAAAATATCCAACATCCAAGAAGCAGCTGAAAATGTGAACCTAAACCTCAGATGAAAGATACTGATGTAGGGCTCTCATTCTCAGGGCACTGTAGAAAAAGAAAAACAGCAGAGAAAACAAAGACAACTTTGGGAAATGCTATCATCTGAAGTTAGGAGACTGGAGTAAATGGAGACCTGAAACAAACAATGGAGTATCCCAGGCAGTAAGAAAAAGAAGGGTTTAAATAGGGAAAAGGAAGTGATCTTCAGTGATGTCAGTTGCTATGGAATTGTCAAGCTCACTTGTAATGATTAGTAGGTCATTTTTGGAGCTCTGTAGTTTAGAATCTCATCCTCTCAAAGATAACTGGAGGAAATAAGTATTCAACTCTATTCACCATGTCTTGAACTAGAGTTAATTCCCTTTGCATTCCTACTTTTAGAGATTGGAAATGAAGATCAGTTGTAAACAAGTTCCCATACATCTCCTTTTCTAAGATACACTACTCTGTTTTGAATAAATGAGATCAGAGAAAATCTGCAACTAAAGCCATGAACTTCAATATGCCTAGGAGGGGAGAAAGTAGTGGTTCTCAACTGGGGTGCTATTTTTTTCCCACCCCCCTCCAGAAGATTTTTGGTTTTCACAAGGGGGGGTTTCTTACTGGAATATAGTGGATAGAGGCCAGGGATGTTCCTAAATATCCTGTAATGCACAGTGCAGTCCCCTACAACAAAGAATTATCTGGTGAAAACTTCAGTAATTTAGAGGTTGAGAAATCTTGGGTTATGGTGATTAAGAGGCCCTCCTTTGGCTAAGCTTTATAATTTACCTACCACCCACTATAGGCGTTCGTTAAATGTGCAAACAAGCAAGGCACTAAACAAAATAGTATAGGCAGTCCTTAGGAGGCACAGTGACATGTCAAGAGCCAATGAAAGAAGGTAGTCCAATGTCTACATAAGTTAAAAGTACAGGCTTGAAGTACACACATGTCTCCAGAAAGCCCATGGCTCCTTGATTCAATCTAGATAAGGCCCTGAGTAAAGAGCATGTAGGGAGGCACCAATGGGAAAGTCAAGAGACTACGAAACTGGGATCAGAAACCTATAGACCTGGGACTTCTAATCACAGGTGCTTGCTGTTCAGTTAGCAACATCATTCCCTCCAATTTCTTCATCTACAAGAAAAGGTTTTAAGATAACGGGCCCTGAAAAACTAATGAGATGTATGCACCCTGTTCTCACAAGAATGTCTTCCAGCACAACACCACGCAAGCACGTCACCGGGAGCCTTAGGGCCCAGTGTGACCTCTTAGGAATCCTCTTATGCCACAGCTGACGTCCTTCCGACCGCAGCACGCAGGCGCAGGAAGCGGCGGGCGGAGGGGCGGAGGGGCGGGGCGCGGAGGCGGCCGCGGGCTCGCAGTTTCCGCCGGGCCTCCCCGGAAACCCCGTATGATCCGGCGTCCGGAGCAAATGCTTCCTGCATCGCTGAGGAGGTCACGGATCATGTGACGGCCCTTGCAGAGGAAGCTGTCCCTGAAGTGACAGTGGAGAGAACCCGGCAGCCCAGAAACCCAGGTAACTGGCGCCAGCTTTGCCCGGTGTTCGGTCCTGGGCTCGGGTGGTGCGGGCGGTGAAGTTGAGGAGAAGGAGAGGACGCCTCTTTCCCTCTGCTTTGGGCCTAGATCTTTGGGGGGTGGGGGGGGCAGGAGTGGAGTGGGCTGAGCTAAGGCACCCCGGCTGGCTACCCGCAGAGTTTTCCCTGGCCGTGACGAGGGCTAGTCCCGCTTGTTAGGCTGGGGGTGGCGACGGCCAGGAAGCCTAGAGGGGAGAGTCACCGGGAGTTTCTCTTCCAGGAGTGGAGGTTGATCCTGCGAGAGGGGTTCATCATGGCTGATGTGAGTTGACACCTCCCCACAAGAGGAAGGGGAGGGTGGGGACTTTGGGGAGAAGCTACTGAGCGGGGTGAGGTAGAGCTTCCCAAGTAGAAATTTGTTTCGTCTTTGGTGCCTCCATCTCCACCCCCCACCCCCCCCCCCCCCCCCCCCCCCCCCCCCCCCCCCCCCCCCCCCCCCCCCCCCCCCCCCCCCCCCCCCCCCCCCCCCCCCCCCCCCCCCCCCCCCCCCC